AATTTGGAGGCTACTTAAAAAGCTAAACATTGATCTACCATATGATCCAGCAATACCACTCTTGGGGATATACCCAAAAGACTGTGACACAGGTTACTCCAGAGGCACCTGCACACCCATGTTTATTGCAGCACTATTCACAATAGCCAAGTTATGGAAACAGCCAAGATGCCCCACCACTGACGAATGGATTAAGAAAATGTGGTATCTATACACAATGGAATTTTATGCAGCCATGAAGAAGAACGAAATGTTATCATTCGCTGTAAATGAATAGAATTGGAAAACATAATTCTGACTGAGATTAGCCTGGCCCAAAAGAACAAAAATCATATGTTCTCCCTCATATGTGGACATTAGATCAAGGGCAAACACAACAATGGATTGGACTTTGAGCACATGATAAAAGCGAGAGCACACAAGGGAGGGGTGAGGATAGGTAAGACACCTAAAAAATTAGCTAGCATTTGTTGCCCTTAACGCAGAGAAACTAAAGCAGATACCTTAAAAGCAACTGAGGCCAATAGGAAAAGGGGACCAGGAACTAGAGAAAAGGTTAGATCAAAAAGAATTAACCTAGAAGGTAACACCCACGCACAGGAAATCAATGTGAGTCAATGCCCTGTATAGCTATCCTTATCTCAACCAGCAAAAACCCTTGTTCCTTCCTATTATTGCTTATACTCTCTCTTCAACAAAATTAGAAATAAGGGCAAAATAGTTTCTGCTGGGTATTGAGGGGGTGGGGGGGAGAGAGAGGGGGTGGAGTGGGTGGTAAGGGAGGGGGTGGGGGCAGGGGGGAGAAATGACCCAAGCCTTGTATGCACATATGAATAATAAAACAATAAAAAAAATAGAAAAAAAAATTTTTTAAAGTTCTTAGGTCAAAAAAAAAAAAAAAAAACAAAGTGCATCAACGACCTTAATGTAATATCTGAACCTGTGAAACTACTACAGAAAAGAATAGGGAAACCACTGGAACATATGGGCATAGGTAAAACTTCTGAACAGAACTCCAATAGCTCAGCAATTAAGAGAATTGACAAACAGGACTACATCAGACTAAAGCTTCTACTCAGCAAAGGAAACAGCTACTAGACTGAGGAGACAGCTTACAGAATGGGAAAAATATTTGCCCGCTATTCATCTGACAAGGGATTAATAACCAGAATATACAGGCAGCTCAAAAAACTAACCCCTCAAAGAATCCACAACCTAATGGACAAATGAACTGAACAGACAATTCTCAAAAGAAATGCAAATGGCCAATAAATCCATAAAGAAATGCCCAACATCCTTGACCATCAAAAGAAATGCAAGTCAAAACTGCACTGAGATTTCACCTCCTCCAGTCAGTATTGCTATCACCAATAACACAAACAACAATAAATGCTGGCAAGGGTGTGGGGAAAACACAGGCCCTAATCCACTGGTGGTAGGAATGTAAACTAGTAAAACCAATATGGAAAGCAATGTGGAGATTCCTCAAAAAAACTAAAAATAGACTTAACGTAAGATCCAGAGATACCACCCCTTGTCATATACCCAAAGGAATGTAGGCCAGGATACAACAGTCACTTGCACACCCATGTTTATTTTAGCATGGTTTACACACAACAGCCAAGCTTTGGAAACAGCCCAGACGTCCTACAACTGATGAATGGATTAAGAAAATGTGATATATATACACAATAGAGTATTATTCAGCCATAAAAAGAATGAAAGTGTGTTCTTTTTAGATAAATTGGTGGAACTGGAGATCATCATGTTAAGTGAAATAAGCCAGGACAAAGGCTGCATGTTTTCCCTCATATATGGAAATGAGACATAAAAGATAAATGTATACATAAATACATGTACGGTCGGTCTATCTAGCTATCCACACATACACATAGACAGGACGAGAACACGGTTATAATAGTGGGTCTGTCAGAACTAGCGGGAGTTGGGAGAAGAAAGAGAATGATAGCAAATCATATCAAAATACATTGTATCTGTGCATGAACATAACAAAATGCACGTAAAGCTGAAAAATCACTATAAAACTCTCATCATTGTTATTTAATAGAGAGCAGAGTGGGGATCCCAAGGAAACCTGAAAGTTTACCTGTTATCATAGATATGATACTTGAAAAAGAATTTACTATTGTCTGAAATAACGTGTAGCTAAATTAATTAGTCTTTAACATACGTATTCCACATCAAGAGCAAGTAACTGCTGGGTGCCAATGGCTCACGTCTATAATCCTATTTATTGGAGAAGCTGAGATTATGAGGATCATGGTTTGAGGCCAACCCAGGCAAATAGTAAGTGACATCTCAGAGCAAAGTGGGCTGAGATGTGGCTTAAGTGGTAGAGCATCTGCTTTGCAAGTATAAAGCCCTGAGTTCAAATCCCAGTACCATTAAAAAAAGGAGAAAGTAACTGCTAAACTAGTAACACCTGAACTGAATCTTTTATTTCTGTTAATGATAAAAGGTAGAGTAGGTGGTTTGCTCTAAAGCAATTCAAACAAGTCACTGCCTCCATGGCACTTCTATATTAACAAAATAGTGACCAATGACAAATACTTTATGTCCTCCTCAGTCAACTTCGTTGAGTTCCACAATTCAGAAACTGAGCCAGAAGGGGTAAGGAAAATGGAGTGACCGTACATTGGAATCCTGACTTGGGTACAAATGTTTTATCTCAAATTGGCTGGACACGTCTCAGAATAAAGGCGAATGGAATGGAAATTGAAGGAGAATAAAGACGTCTCATCAGCCACGTAGCTCACGTTGTGTGCTCAACGTGCTCCCTCCAAAACTTGCATGTTGAAGCCTTGAAACCCAATGTGACAGTATCTGGAAGGACCTCCAAGTGACATTGTGGAAGTAATTAGGTCTAGATGAGGTCATAAAGTGGGGCCACACAATGGGATTAGTAACATTTAAGAAACCATAGAGGGCTGGAGGCATGGTTCAAACAGTAGAGTGCCTGCCTAGCAAGTGTGAAGCCTTGAGTTCAAATCCCAGTACTACAAACAAAACAAACAGTCCAAGAAACCAGAGCTCGCTCTTGCTCTACACCGTGATATAGCAGGCAGTCCCCTGTAGACCAGAAAGAGGGCTGCTGGCAACTTGTTCTTACCTTTCCCAGCCTCCAGAATTGTGAGAAACATGTCCGTTGTTTAAAACATCTAGTTTATGGTATTTTGTTACGGCAGCCAAGTGACGACAGCTCAGTAACCTTGAGATCAGTATAAAAATGACCTTTTCCTTAACCCTCCACAACCCACCCACAAATGAAGGTCAGATGGATATTCTCGGTGACCATGATTCTCGATATCCTATGTGTCCTCCCTCTAAACTTTATTTTTTGGCAGTGCTAGAGATTGAGTTCAGGGTTTTGAGCATGCTCAGCAAGCACTCTTACCACTGAGCTGCATCCCTTGCATGATATGTTTTTAGTTATTTATTTATTTTGCCTTGCTGGCAATCAAATCCTGGGCCTTGTGCTTGGTAGACCAAGTGCTCTACCCCGGTCAATTTATATTTGATTTTTTGGTGGGACTGGGGTTTGAACTCGGAGCTTCACACTTGCAAACAGGTGCTCTACCACTTAAGCCACCTCCAGTCCATTTTCCTGTGATTTTGAAGATGGGTTCGCACTGGCCTCAAACCATGATCCTCCTGATCTCAACCTCCTAAGTGGCTAAGATTATAGGTGTGACCACTGGCACTCTGGCTCAATTTATTCTTAAAAGAAATACAAGGCATCTATGCAGTGAGGACCAGAACAAAGTCTTTTTCTTATGGAGCTGGCATTCTACAGGGGCAACGAACATCAACACACAGTTAAAGCAGGTTAGGGCAATGAAAAATAGGAACGTGGTGACACAGGAGCCCATACCAGAACCCGACCTAGTCATGAACGTGAGCCAGCTTCACTGAGGAAAGGACGTTTGAACTGGAAGCTGAAGAACTCCCAGGAGTTCCTAAGAGAAGGAGGGAGAGCTGAGCTCAGGACGGAGGGAATCTGAGCGGGTGGAGGCTGGAGGCAGGGTGAGACACTAAGTGTGGTGGCTGCAGCGCCGAGACCGAGCGGTCTGCTCTAGCTGGGTAAGGGAGGCAGGGGTCATCCTGAGTGTTGCAGGGCAGGGCGAGGTGTTTGGTATCTGCGGCAGCAGAAAGGGAAGGTGCTCACTGAAGGAACGACATTCCATTAGAAAACAAAAACTCCTCCGACAGCAATATGTAGCTCGAAGGGAAACAAGAATTTAGATAAATCCTGTGTTGTCTTCAAAACAGACATACTCGTTTCGTTAAAAACATTCCCTGAGAATTTCAGATAAATGAAGTTGGGAGCCAGCCTCTTGGGGATTGGCAGTGCTCTGCAGCTATACAGAGCTCCCCAGAGCCGTTCCTGGTCACATCTAATCTCCTCCTCCTCCAATGGCTGCTATAGACAGGTTAAAACTAGGTGACATGTTAATGCTCCCTTTTTTTTCTTTTATTCATATGTGCATACAATGTTTGGGTCATTTCTCTTCCCTTTCCCCACCCCCTCCCTTACCTACTCCACGCCCCCCTGCCTCTCCCCTCCTATTAAATGCCCCATTTATCAACTGTAAATTTAAAGTTCGGGACAGTACACTTTCCAACTGTGATGGATGCCTATCCAAAACTTGGACTGAGAAGCACTGTATGACTGCTCCTTACCTGGACACCCCTTATTACACAACGTCACTTATTCCTAGAGACAGGGACAACTTAACATTTAACACATAAACCAACAGTGTAGCTGATATAACTTCACATTCTCCTAACCAATTAGCAACAGAAAGGAGCAGCTATGAAGACAAAGTAGATGTGAAAACTGAAATCACACACATCGAGACCATTTAAATGGGAGGAAAGCATGACCTGAAGGTATACCATTGCCACAGAAATGACCGATAACTGAATTTACCAACAAAATTTACACTTTGTAGTGAAAAGTTCATTACATTTGAGGAAAAGCCTTAAAAAACCAAAATGCTCTGCAGTAAAGCTATCTGGATAAATGAAGGCTTGCTTTGCCAGTCGTCAGGTGAACTGCTAAAAGCCAAGGCAGTGTGCTAAATGTTTATCAACAAAAAACTAATGACTAATCTACCCCGCCAATGAAAGTGCTTGTAAGAAACTACCCAACCACAGGCATCAAATAAGATGGACTTAAAAACAAATTTTACTCCAATTCCACCCAAAACTATGGTAACTCTAAAACACTTAACACATTTCATCAAACTTGTATAGTCACATAACTCAAATGAGCAAACAAAAATAGTTTTCTGTGCTCAATCACTTTTAATAATGAAACTTTAAAAGAAGAAACATACAGAGAACCCCCACCCAATTTGTGAACCATTTAGGCAAGCAAATATTTATTAAACAGAAAGACAGCATTAAAAACTAGAAGTCCTTAAATTTAGAGAAAGCAGTTCAAGTCTGATGTGCATTTATTTGTACAGGAGAAAGCAAGTATCTTAACATAAAGGAAACCAAGTCCAAGTGCTTACCTTTTTTCTTCCAACATAATCTGCCTTGCAACCCTCCCACTACAGTACTTCATCAGTACTGCAGCAGTGTTAGTCCAATCCCATGGCACCCATCGTGTTCACTACATCACTCCCTTACAAGTTTGCACGGCCTCACACAGAGCATCACCACTGTAACTGAGCTTGGGAATTGCAGGTATCCAAAGGTAACTATGTATACACAATTCTGCTTTATTGCACAGCTCATAATATATAACAAATGATTATATAACCAACCATAAGATGAGTATTGACTATTTACACAAAAACATCAACTTTGTCCCCAACACGAAACAAGTCAGATACAAATTTGCTACCATACAAAGGCTGTGTTTACTCTGTGGTGCAGTCCTGAGGGTTCATACCACTAGAAATGTGCTAAATTCAGAACTTGTAACACATATCTGGTGGCATCAGATATGAATCATGGGACATAACACTTAAATGTCCTATGTTCACGAACCACCTGTGCCACATATGTAACAGAAAGGCTACTTTTAAAGCTATTCAGATATTCAATCATGTTTGACTTTTAAAAATTATTACCATACTAGTTTACACTGAAGGTAAAAAACAACAGCAGAATTTCTTACTAATTACACATGACACTAAAATTCAGATAAAGCTGTTGGCTACAGTTCTGAATTTTTTGTCAAATTTAAGAAGTCTACAGGACAACACAAAACCATCTGTGGTAATGTATTTGCAGTTTGGTCATCAGGAGCTGTAAAGAGTGACAAAAATTAAAAATGAGTTAAAATCATTAAAAATGCTAACAACTGTTTTTAAAACACCACATATTCGAGATGGCAAAAACCAAAGCATTTTCCTTACAATTCTCACTTCTATTTCACAAAAGTGCTTTACGATTTAAATCTCTATCACCTGTGTGGAGTGTAACAAAAGCAAGCCTCACAACACTGCAGCCTAGTAAAGTTCACTGCCCCAGACTAAGGCCTATTCCCTGGCTGACACACCTACCCTGCGCTGAGCACCCAGATCCGCCCGTGGGCACTCAAGGTCACACAAATGAGGAGGGGGGTCAGGAGCCAATGCACTGTCTTTTCATTTCTGAAACTTGACTCCCTTCAAATCTTGACTCTTCAACAAGCCAAAGGACACTACTTAAATTTATTTGGTGTCAAATTCTTGTTTTCTGAAAACCTCACATTTGTACCCTACTCTAAACTGCTGTATCTAGCACAAATTTGTCAAGCAGACCTATTCAGCCTTGCTCATGGTTAGTGTTCCCTACCCCTTCACGGCTGGAAGAATGCTCACGGTAACTAGTCTTGCTGCATGTAGAGGTAAACAGCTGTTTTGGGTTATCTGCCCAGAAACTGTGAGTAAACTACCAGTTGAGGCCCTGATTTCATTTTGGTCGGCATGTGCATGTATTTACATGCAATCAACCCAGAAAGATGAAAAACTGGTGACAAAAACCTACCTTAAAAAGGGGGTGGGGGGATGTAGCTCAGTGGTAGAGCACTTGCCCAGGATGTACGAAGCCCTGGGTTTAATCCCTAGCACCACAAAAAAAAAAAAAAGAGAAAGAAACCTACTTACTGTCTCATGTCAAATGCCAGAAGCAATCTTCACTAATATTTACAGATTAAAAAAATTCATAAACTACTCCAGGATGTTTATGTCTCATTATTCAACTGGCATATGAATAATTTTTGCTTCACTTATTTGGAAAAAAAAATTCTAATATTTTCTGATTCATTGACAAGTTTTTGCCTGTTAAGGGATGATATACCTAATATCAACCTCTAGAATTCAAAATAATCCCTTAAATGTATTCGGATCATATGCTCTTAAAACTATCTTGCTTCACTGAACGATGGTAAAACTGGGCTTCCCAAATGTCAAAATCCTAAAGTCTTATTTCAAAGAATAAAGTAAAAGACAGCTAACACTGTGGGGCTTTATTTTCCCTTCTCTTGTAATATTTAGAAGGTAAGAAAAAAGAGAACCTGGGATGGTATTAACAGACTTCCAAAATAAAACTTCATGGGAGCATCTGTTTTATTTTTTAAAAGTAAAACTTTTTCAAAGTATAGTTTAAGAGAACAGGATGCTTGAATGTGACAAATTACTACTCAGGGGAAAAGAGCCCCAAATCCTTCTGCTAAGTTGGCACCAATTAGTCAAAGAAACCAAGTTAAACAGAATATGATCTATAAGCAGTTGACAATTTCTGGATGAAAGACCTGTAACAAAATTTAAGTCCTCCTATCTTTTGGTAATGAAACCAGTAAAATCAACACAGGATATTTTGGAAGGGCTTAAAGTCACATTTAAAATTAAACAGAAAACTTTCGAAGCTAGGAAGCAATATGGGAACTTTTCTCTTTAATTAGCTGGTTGATTCTACTACGACTATCTCAGTAGGTGCTTAGCTTCAAAATTAACACTAACAGTTCATCATGAAATGTCTACACCTAAGCTGCTTTTCTTCTCTGTTCTGCTCCTGTCCTACCTTGAGTTTAACAAACACTGCCCTTTGCAGGAAGTGGAGTAGCACATTAAGCAAGCCTGAGAAGTCCTGGGGCACTGACAGCACTTTCTGTGGCTGCTCAAGGTCATTATGTTTCAATGTAAAAGGCTTCAAGGCTGTTTGAGGGAAAAAGAATCATATCTTGCTATCAGGTTACCTGTCAAAGGCCATCACATAGCTAGCTATTTACCAGGCAATTACCCTTAAGTTCTTGGCTAATGATAAAAACAAAACAACAAAAAAAATCCTTAAATTTTCCTATTAAAACCTCTTACTCTGTTTTTGTTGATGCTTAAGGAAAACAGCTCTGCTCGTAATTTACTGTGGTGAGGGCTTAACGACACCAACTTGTATTTAGGCCAATTAGGAACAACGTCAAACTGTACCTTTCTTAGTTCTATTTAGTTGATAAATGGCATTTCACTGGTGACTTTTTCATATAATCTTTAACAAAAACTCGTAAGTTGCATTGATTATTCCCCAAGAGATAAGAGATCGGTGGTAATTCAGATGGGCCCCTCTAAAGAGATTTGCCAGTTTCCTGTCCCGTTCTAGCCAGATTGTTTTGAAAACCTTGGAGAAAGACTGAAATTCCCCACCAATCTGAGACTGTATGCGAGTTTTTACAACATTAATTGGGAAAAACAAGAATCCCAACATGGCCCCCAAAAGACCTCCACAGATGAAGTCATTGACCAAGTGGGCACTGTGCGTACTTGCAGTAGGCAGGTGCTCCTTGATGGGTCCTCGAAGGCCAAAAAAAAAGACATTGCTGAACCCATTACGGAAAAGAATGGGCATCAAGCCTCGATAATACTCTCTAACTCCATGGCATTTCAGTGCCCTGAAAGCCTGGTAAGTGTTTGTGAATTTGTCATGATGCCTGTGGTCTTGGAGCAATGTCTGAACTCTTTCCAATGGAGTGAAAATGGCTTCTGTGGTCCCTGCAAGCACCGCAGCCACGCTACGGGTTGCAAACTCTGGAGCACTAACATGCTTACGGAGGAGGCAGGATAAATCCTCATACAGACCAAACATGAGGGCCAGGGTAGTTGTCTTCTGCATCAGTGGGGGGAGGATTCCACGATACAAGTTCCGAAACCCATCCCTCCTCAACTGAAGAACTGCATCCCGGGTTTTGATGCCATACAGCTGCTGCCGGAAGAGGAGCTTCTGGATGGGGAAGGTGATGGCCACGTTGTTGAAAGCTGCGCAGCACCCACACAAGTAATGCTTCATCTCACCCACATGTGCAATGTGAGGGGACAGGTCTTGTTTCGAAGATGTTAAGATTGGTGACCTCTTTTCATGAGCTTCTGAATCCATCATGTTGCTTGAGATCTTTCTTCTTCATGAAGGACTATTTAACCTATAAACACACGACGCTGAGTTTTATACAGTCCAACACATGGAATTCTCCCCCAAGTCTCTCCCCCAATCTCTGGATGCTATATTTTCCCGTTTAGATGGACCAGTAGTTCTTTACATAAATTTATTTTATTTTGTATTTACACATTCACGGGGTTCAGTACGGTACTTGGTACATGCATGTGGTGCACACTAGTACCCTCTATCAGTGGGTTGTGTTTGCTTTTTTTTTTAAATTGTTTTTGAGACAGAATCTCACTGTATAGCCCAGGGTGGCCTCAAACCCAAGATCCTCCTGCCTCAGCCTCCCAAGTGCTGGGATCACAGGTCTATGCCACCACACCCAGCTTGTTGATGGAGGTTGGGGGGTAGGGGGTTCTCACTAACTTTTTGCCCAGGCTGGCCCTGAACCGTGACCCTCCTGACTGCCACCTCCTCAGTAGCTGGGATTATAGGTGTGCACATGACCTGCTTCTCCTGCTAAACATTTTCTTCCCGATACTTGGAGGTTGAACTTAGGGCCTTGCACTTGCTAGGTAGGCAGCACTCTGCTACTTGAGCAACTCTGCCAGTCCTTTAAATTGACTAATTCTTCCACGCTAGGAGGCCATGTTTAACAATTCAACAACAAAAAAATAACTCCATTAAAAAAGAAGTTAAATGCACATTTCTCCAAAGAGGCCAACACACATGAAACGATGCTCAGCATCGCTAATCGCCAGCGAAGTGCAAATCAAAACCGCAGCGCAGGACCCCCATACCTCTCAGGATACCTGCTACCAAGACGACCCACAAGAACAGCGGCAAACACAGAACACGACAAGTCCTGGTGGGGATGTGAAGCTGGAGTCCTGTGTGCTATTAGAGGGGTTGTAAAATGGTACAACTACGGAAAACAGTAGAGTGGTTTCACATGACCCAGCATCCCACTTGTGGGAATGTGTCCACATTAAAGAGCTTGCACATGCACCTTCACAGCAGCACTACTCAATAGACAAGAGATGGAAGCAATCAATCCCAACTACGTTTAAGGGTTAAATGGGAACTAAAACACATCAGATAAACCATGTAGGTCTTTGACCTATAATAAAAAAATGGCCCAGTTACTAATGTTTTTTTCCTTCCTATATCACACACATGCTGCTATAAACTGCTAAACATTCAGGACAAAATATTTTAAAGAGAAACATAATCAGTGTCAAGCAGAGGACAGAGCTGAGTCACAGAAAACTTAGGGAAATTATTCACAAGAGACATACACCAAGATTCAACTATAAGACAGTCACAACAATGCTCTTGACAACAAAACTGAATACATTAAATACTCTCAACAGGCTCAGCCTCAAGGGTCCCACGGCTTAAGTGAGTATGCACCCACATGATAGGATATTACGCAATCATGAAAAACAAAGGACCATTTAAGGTTCAGCTCAGTACCAACTTTGAATTTTTAGTGATGTTTATGAAATTTAAACGAGTCCTTTAACAGTCTTACAGAAAAAAAGCAAAAAAGACTAAGTTTTGACAAGGAATAGTAAAATGGCACAATCCCATTTTTATCCAAATATGTACACATGAAAAAGCTAAGGGAAGTGGCTTACACTCTCATTTCATAAAGCTGTATTTTCCTTTTTATATTTTTCAAATTAAATTTGTCTTGATCTATTAAAGTGACTTCAAAAGCTAGACAGTGACAATCATGAAGGTGTAATAAGGACAACAAAAGGCCAACAGTGACAGACATGAGGAAATTATAAAGTGGCCTAAGGAGAACTGCTTTACCCATCTGAGCCTGTTTCCATTTTTATAACTGATGTTAATACTGTCCATGCTCCAAGATTAGAGTGGCCATTTGACGAAGAGTATGCATGTCAGGTACCTAGTTCAGGGGAGATAAGATGTGCAAACAGTCCAACTGCAAGGTGACAAAATGCAATCACTGACACAAGTACGAAGAGTCAAGGCCCACAAGGGAGGAGGCCATTAACTAGTGGTCTAGAGGGGATGATAGGCAGGGTATGGCCTTTGGCCTGGAGTGGAAAACTGAGTAGGAGTCACTGTGTACATTAGGGTAAAGCACAGTCTAGCCAAAGGAGTGGCACAGGCTGAGGCACAGGTCTTGTGCCAAGACAGCAGCAGTTTCACACTCTTGCAGAATTGCTCATACATGTCCTGCAGAAGCAAAATGCAGGTGGGAGAAGACTGGGAAGCCAATGAGCATGGAGAAGCCTGTGATGAGCACAGGCCAGGACCTGTGTCATGGGAGACCCTCGGGAAAATTCTGAGACAACCTTCTTTCCTCTGTGAAAGCACATGGAAATAAACTTTCTCCATAAGTATGTTACACCCAGATCTGTGTGCCTTTTTCCTACAAGACAGGAGATTAATAAAACATAAGCATCTGTACCATCTATGGCCTAAAGCCTCATTGTTTGCAGGTCTGCCGTCACACTTCTGGAAAAGATAAACTTGCCCTCAGTTAAGAATTATGACTGAGTATCACTGTGAGCCCAAAGAATACCCTGAGCAAGGTAAAAGGAGGAAACTTTTCTCCCATTAAGTCACCTACAGAGCTGCACAGTGGCAGGGTTTCACCATTTCACTGTCCACCTCTATAACCAGGTAAGCCACATCACCACCAAGGTCCAAAACATTTTGTTTGAAGAATGTGTTCTGACAATTGCAGACAATTAAATTCCTTCACTGCAATTTAAACAGAAGAATTATTTTGAGTCTGGCCAAAACTGGTACAAATGAATTATGAAGACACCTGCATGCTCAAGTAAGGAGATGTCAGTGTCCTTGCAGTTGGGATGCTAGTATATCCAGCAATAAAAAAAAAAAAATAATAATTTAAATAAAAATTCACAAAAGAAATGTGTATTAAGTGTTAGAGGGAAAAAAGCTGCACATCAACCAAATATTGGATTCTCTCTAGGCTCACTGGCCTACTCAAGTCTTTATCTCTTATTTGAACTAGTGCAAAAGCCTCTTTAGCAGTCAACCCGATCAAGGTCAGACCTCTCCACCTTTTATTCCCTACCTGGTTCCAACCTATCCATTATTTAAAAAACAAGCAAAAAGAATACACTACTAGGTTAAAAGCAACGTGCACATCAATACACTGTTGAATCTAAGCTGATCCCAGAAATACCTCAGTGCCTGAAGTGGTTGCATAGTACGTGCCATAGATTTAGCCTTTCTCCTACTTACAATTACTGTCACTCTTCCTTTCTTTTGCCTTTAAATATTTTTTCAATGGTCAGCTTTACACCTATACCTGGATGAACTGTTTCACCATCTAAAATTTTTGATTAACATTTAGCATTTTTCATTTTTACTGATTATTTAAGTTTGTTTTACTGTAAACTTTCATACACCAGCCATTCTTCTGCCGGCACTTTTTTCCTATTGATCTGTAAATGTCTTTGTATATGAAGACAATTACATCCAGTTCTGTAAGTCAGTTTGTGCCAAATACTTTCCCACTTTGTCTACATCATTTTTGTGATACTGACATTAATTTGGATATTAAATCTATCAATCTTACCTTCTAGATTTTATATCTTCCTTAGAAGGCCTAATTATTCAAATTATTAGTAATCCAGGCTTCCTTCTATAATTTCTATAGTTTCACTTACCATATGTATTGTAATCTCTATGCACTTTAGTGTATGGAGTGAAGCAACAGTAAGAGATTGTAAACATCACTGACTGAACTTCCTTCTTATCAGTGGTTTGCAAAATCTAGATACCCACAGGCATTTGCACTGATCTCTGTCCTCCACCAATAGTGCAGTAGTTCTTTCTTCAGTGCTAATCTGTTGCAACCAACTGCATATATTTCATTATCTACTAGGGCCTCCCATTCTTTTCCAGGTCCTCTCACTTCTTCTAGGTAAACTTTTACTGTACTTTCGTCCTGTTCCTCCCAAAAATCTGCTGATACTTTATAGAAGAGATTCTGAGGATAGATTTTTAAAACTATCACCTTTACAACATTGAATTTTACAAGGACACAGTATCTTCCTGTTTGCTTACATCTTTTACAAACCTTATACCATTTTAATTATTCTTCCTACAGATCAAGACTATTTCTTGTACGTAGGCATTTTATCTTTCTGGATACTATGATGAATTGGCTGGTTCCTTCCATTAATTTTCTAGCTGCTTTCTTTCTTCATATGAAAAAGCTACCAATTCCTGTGTATTAAGGTTAGAAGCACTAAACTTACTGAATCCTCTATTTTTCATTTTTTTGGCAGATTTGTTTCAGTTACCATAATGTAAAATTTAATTTCAAATAATTTTGACTTCTCTTTTATTATCTGTATTTTTCTTTTTTCTATCTTTGTGACCTAACAAACACTACCTGAACAAAATAATGGCAAGAGTGTACATATTTGTATTTTTCTCAACATTTGTGGGAACTCTCCTAGTAATTACCAATAAGCAGGACAATGGCTTTTGGTTTGAGAAACAGGAAGCTATTGTCATCTGAGTGCTCACAACTGAAGCCCTGACACTTACAAGTTTATTTAGGGAAACAAATCATCATGACACGTAAAAGATGCTCAATGACCCTGTTCAATGACCCATTGACCCACATAAATTTTTAAATGTGTTCTTACTCAAGTATACCTATTTATAATCTATCCTTGCCCATGTTTAGGATTGTGTTACAAACAAAGGAAGCGTGTCTTCTCACTGCTATCATATAAACTCACCCGGAAAATGATGATTTAAAAACCCAAAACTTCATTCTACACTCAAAAAATTCGATAGCTGCAATTATAACTGAAGCCCCACCCTTACTACTTACTATGAAATTGGTTCCCATTAAAAATGGATTCCATTTTTTTAGTACTAATGATTAACTAATAAGGGTCTCATACAGAGTTGTCAAACTTGAGAAGAAAACACATTCCTGTTTTGCTAAAATTCAAACACCTCTACTCCCCCCTCTCATCACCCATAATCTAACTTTGATCAAATGCTTTTAGGTAACTACTGAACTGATCACACAGACACTGGAGATGGAGTCAATGCAACATGTAAGAACCTCTGGAATCTATTACTCAATTCAAATCCCAGCTATACCACGCATCCACCATGGGAGCCTTGACAAGTCACTCAAAGTCTCTATGGCTTAGTTTCCTTGTTTTTAAGATAGGCAGTTACCTACTTCATAGGCTGTCTCAGTTCATTGAGTTAATACATGGAAAGCACACAGGGGAGTTGTCTGGAGGACAGAAGGTACTCAACAGGCTGAACTATTCCTATTGTTCTTTCCTTAAGTATTTGGTGAATATATGTATATGTACCTTAACTTATGATGGAGTTGCATCCCGATAAACCCATTGTGAGATGAAAATATCATGTCAGAAATGCATTTATTAGCCAGGCGCTGGTGACTGACACCTCTAATCCTACCTACTTAGGAGGCAGAGATCAGAAGGATCGCAGTTCAAAGCCAGCCCGGGCAAATAGTTTGCAAGACCATATCTCGAAAACATTCATCACAAAAGGGCTGGCAGAGTAGCTCAAGGTGAAGGCTCTGAGTTCAAGCTCCAGTACCACAAAAAAAAAAAAAAAAAAAAAAAGAAATGCATTTATTTATTTATGGTGCTAAAGACTGAACCTAGGGACTCGTGCATGCTAAGTACACGCTCTATAACTGAGTTACACCCCTAGCTCCTGAAATGCATTTAATACACCTAACCTACCAAACATAATAGCTTAGCAACAAAGAATACCAGTTGTTTACACTCATGAGTGCATGGCTAACTTGGAGATGTGGCTCACTGCTGCTGTCTTGCATCTCACTATCCAAGTAAAAGATCAAAATTCAAAGTATGGTTTCTAAAGAATGTGTATCATTTTTTGAACCACCAAAAAGTCAAAAGATGCAGTTCAGTGGTAGGCTTGCTTAGCATGCATGCAAACCTGGTTTTAATCCCAGCACCACACATGCACAAACGAGTAAAAATATTGTAAACAAAATCATTGTATGTCAGAGACTATCTGTAGTACATAACATCCATTCTCATAACATGAAGATGAATCTTACTTGGCATGGTAAAATACATTTTTAATGTACTGTTAAATAACATTTGATATTATTTATTGTGCTGAAGATTGAACCCAGGGTTTCCTGCCTGCTAGGCAAGTACGCTCCACTGAGCTGCACCCTAGCCCACCATTTCTCAATATTTTATTTTAAAATTCACTACTACTATTTATAACAAACCAAGTTTTTAATTTTACTTCTATTTTCACATGAAGTCCTGGTGTCTGTTTTACTGGCTCTGTAAAAAGAATCTTATGTTTCCTTCCTCATGCTGCGGAACGATTTAAAATTTTATCATCTGTTCCTTGACAATTTAAAAGAATTCACCTGTGATGCCAGCTGAGCCTGGTGCTGTGGGGGACAACAGCTTTTTGGTGGCTCTCCCAATTTCTTCCATTGTTATTGGTTTGCCAGGTTCTCTCTTCTGGAGTTAATTTTGGTAAATGGATTTCCTTAAAAATAAATAAATAAATAAATAAAAATAAAATCTGGTTTCATTTCTATAGTCTTATAAGGCACCTGCTGCTCTAACAAATTATTTCTATTATTTATGTTCCCTTTTCCTAGAGCAGGGTAATCAGCTGATCTCAATTTATACCCCTCACCCCCAGCAAAGAAACATCTCTTCAACAACCAGTTTTGTTATTTTTCAGCTTTTAAGTTTACTTTCTCTCTTTATTGCATTCTTTCTCATACTTTGTCTAGGCTCATTGTCTTTTAATGTTACATTAGATGGTTATTGTAATTTAGTCTGCATTTCATAATTTGAGTGTTTAAGGCTATTCATTTTCCTTTGCATGTTTATTGCTTAAGATATTTTGCATTATATTTTATTTTAGTTGCTTACAAGTGTTCTAAAATTTTCAGCTGGCCAGGTTAGTGTTGCTATTTGCAATAAAATGGACATTTTAAAAACAGACCCAGGGTTCGAGAGGTTAAGCCTATAATCCTCCTTACTTGGAGCAGATCATCTGGAGAACTGCAGTTTGAGGCCAGCCCAGGCAAAAAGTTCACAAGACTCTACCTCAAACAATGGCTGGGGCAGAGGTATTACCTGTCATGAGCTCTGCAGTCCAGGCTGGTAGGGAATAAAGTGAGACTCTATCTTAATAAAGAAACAATGTAAAAAGGGATAGCAACATGGCCTAAATGGTAGAGTGCCTGCTTAGCAAGCACAAGGCCCTGAGTTCAAATCCCAGCACTGTCAAAAATTCCTCTGAGCTTTTTCTTTCTTTCTTTTTTAATTATTGTACTAGGGGTACACTGTGACATTTACGAAAGTTCTTAAAATGCATCATAGTTGGATTCACCCCCTCCATCATTCTCCTTTATCACCCCTCCCCCATCCCCTTCTTAATGTAATGAGGTTTTGTGACTTAATATGATGAACTTAAGAAATGGTTCTATAGATGCTTGAGGTTTTTGAGGGTACTGAGCTTGATAATTAACCGGTCTACTACATTAGCTTTACTGGTTCAGCTGAAAGGCATGAGTTAAAAAATTCTTGTTAGTACTAGACTTGCCAATCTAAGATTAAGCAATTCTTGTCAATCTTACATTATATTTAGAAAAACTAAAAGTTAGCATAGAAATGTTTGATACCTACTGTAATATTTTGCTTTTTTAGTTTCACAATTAAACAATGTTAAAATCAACAAAAATATTTTATGTACGCATTACACGCTATTGTGATAAATTATGAATGTCAAAAACATTTCATTTTTTCATACTGAACACATAGCAGTATATTTTAAATTCCTAAGTCACTACCTAAAAGCTGTTTACATGTTCCCAGACAAAACCAAGGTATCTAATCACTTGGACAATTATAATTTTGTCCAGGGCTGGGGACATAGTTTAGTAGTAGAACCTTGCCTGACATGCACAGTCCGTGGGTTCACTCCCCAGCACCGAAAAAAAATACTGTTCATATTCAGTTTTCACTTTTAAGGAATGGAACTTGTGTTATGGTCCATAATTCTGTAAATTAAAGTTCCTCCACCCAGTTTGTCATAACTCTATAATAGGAAACAGAAAATTGGCTAGTCAGTATCAAACTTAAGAAATTTTAAGAATGTTATACATTTAGATTCTCAGATTAAAAAAACAAAACAAAACAGGTCTAAATAGGAAGAAGGATATCATGAAACACTTCCCCAACTTCACAGATTTAAATCCTTCCCTCTAGTCTTACCCTACCTCCTGCAATGGTGTGAACAGTCTTAACTTAGCAAAAGAAGGAAAGATAAGTGTACATGGTATTCTGTGACAGCAGTTTAGAATTTGCCACGTTTACTATCCTGTGAACATGGTTAAATCACTTTGCTAAACTGATCTCCATTTAAATTCTTTGCCATGAACAATAATCCTTTGTGATTTCTTGCAAAATTTATTTACCGTGACTGCACTTGTTTGGTACCTAAAACATTCGACATATGGAAGCCAAATTAATGAAGATGACTTTCAACCAACTGCAAGGGTCAAACTCGTGTGGCTTAAAAAACTCTTGGTGGCTCAAGTTGTGGAGCACCTACGTAACAAGGCCCTGAGTTCAAACATCAGTATTACAAAAAAAAGATTAAAAAAGAAAAAGGAGTATAAATTCTAAGTACTGTAATTCATAGTCCACAAGAATACACACGCAATCCCAGGGCAAAGGTCTTTGTGCAAAATCTGGGCAGAGGGTGACTGTAATTCTCAAAAGATGGGAATTCCCACTAGTCAGCAGGTCTGAGTCAGCATTCAGAACAGGGTCAGCCAGGGTTCTAGTAGCAGTCATGACGTTATTTTGCCATTATAAACCCAAGGCAATACGTACGACTTTAAAATCTACTAATGGAGCTTACTTTCATGTACCAAAAGCCCAGCTGAGTCAACTCCTCTCGGAGGTGAACAGCTTGTGACGCTGCCTGCGATGCGCCTTGCGCGACTCCAGTTCCAAAGAGCCTCACCTGTGCTCTGGGACCACTGTGGGACACCGGACCTGCCAGCACCTTGGACTCTATGAATCAATCCATACGCTCCAGCTGGCACGGTGGTCACGACACATGTATTTCAAAGGCTTCCGTTTCATAAATTACAGGTAGAGAGGCAGAAGGTGGGAATTAAGACCAGCTGTGTAGAACTGTAAAGGACAAAAAAAACCAAGCGTTGACACAGTCCAACTAGCTACACTTAATACTGAATAATCGGTAGAGGCGAGCGCTGCCACCCTCAGAGTGGCGCACAACAGTTTCCTACGACACGATGCAACATGGTGTAGCACAACGAGCATTCTCCGGGCCTCCATTTCCCGTCGGTGTAAAGGGGGAGAGAATGGGGTCACCGCACCAGGGCCCCGATCGTCTCCGAGACTCCCGTTTCTGGGATACGGCTCGAGCAGGCCGGTGTCCGTCGCCGGGGCTGAGTCCAGTGCGTCCCCGCCCCGGGGTCCAGTGCGCTCGGGAGGCGCCTCCCTAGCCCGCGCAGGCCCGGAGAGCGCGCGGCCCGCCCTACTTGCGGTGAAGGCCGCCCAGCCCGGAAGCCACGGCGCCGCGCAAGCCCCGGGCCGGCGGGCGGCAGAACCAAGAACCGCGAACCTGGGCCCACAACTGCCGGGCCCGGGAATTCCGGGCGCGCTGGGGCGTAGTGCGCGCGCGCGCAGGGCCTAGCCTCCATCTCGGCGGCCGCCCCTCGCAGCCTTCTTCAAGCTTCCCCTCCTTCCGGCCAGAGACTGGAGAGGATCCCGGCTTCCACACCCCACCCCACCCTTCCCGGCACTCACCCATGGCCGCGGGCGCCGGCCCCACGCCCCAGCCGCCCGCCCGCAGGACGGCCGGCGAGCGAGCCCGCGCCCGCGCAGGCGCAGACCTTGGCTCGGGTCACGTGGGTTGGGGGGGCGGCTCTCCAGAGCTCTCGGATGGCAGGTGACCCGGCGTTATTTTCTGCCCGCGGTCCGCTGTGCTGGGACAGGCAGAGGGTCACGTCGTCACACCTGTGGCCTGCCTGCGGGGCTCCGCTAGTCCCGGTGTCTTATCCTGATGCTGTACGGTGGCCTCACCGTGCCAGAAACAGCCAACGCGTCCTCTAGCTTGCTGCTTGAGGGAGGAGCCTGGGGGCTGGGGGTTGGGAGAAGATCCTTGGCTGTAGGTGGCGAGGGCGTCTGCAGAAGGCTAGGAAGTAACCCACCTGGCTCCTCTGTATTGCCTCCATTAGGTATCCTCAGGTCTTCAGGATGCTTTTTGTCAGCTAGTATTCTGCAGTTCACAGAACACCTTACGTGTGCTTTAGGAGACTCAAATCATTGTTAAGCCCCCTTTCCCTTGAACCTCACACAAGACGTGGAGTCTTAGAAGGAGCACTGCATGGGAGTTACGAGGCTCCAGTCAGAATCATACTCCTGGCACTTCTTTGAAGTGACCTTGGACAAGTCACTGGTTCCTAAACCCCAGATCCCTACGGGAAAAGTAACCCCTGCCTTGCCTGCATCCCTTCGCGTTTTGAGTGATTCTTGGTGGATATAATGGTTCCGACTCAGGCAATAGGTGGGAGGAGTTGAAGGAAAGGGCAAGGGCAGTCTGGAAGGGGGAGGCACTGAAGTCCGTGCATTTTATTTGGGGCTAGCCAGTGGGTAACCCTACTACAGGGGTGAAGCGGTAGTGGGCGGATCAGCTCTAGGTAGGTGACTGTCTTGGCCCTGTGTCCCCTGTGTTGACCTGCTTTCAGGATGTGGACCAGCTTCCCCACTTAAGCAAACAGTTCTAGGAGGTACTGGGTGGCACACCCCTCACCTCAAGGGGGCCCTCTGAGAGGGAACCAGGGGTGGCTGGGTGAATTTGGACCAGTGGAGAATGTCATCACAGCAAAAGATAAGAATGTGAAAGTCAGGTGGGACCTGATCATGCCAATCTTGCTTGTCAGATGCAGGCACCTGGCCTGCTGGTGCACAGGGACAGATTTTGGATAATGGGATAATGACAAGACCACCCCATGGTTTAGAACAATTAATCAGGCAACAGTTGGGGAAAGGGCATTTACCTCAAAATTATGTTTGCCTTGGCAAACGTGAATTCCTATTCAGATGTTTTATTCAAAAAATAAATAGATCAGGCAGGTACCCAAGGTGTTCATAAGCATAAATAATTAATTTCAGATTAGAATGGAGAGGTTATTCTCCTGTGGAAAAGAACATAAAGAGAAGGGAAAGATTGAAATTAAATATACAATTGGGGCATAACCAACTCAAAAGAGTGGAAAATCCCTTGTCACCAAGAACACTGGTGTCTGGAGAGGATCCCATCTGTTCCTATTATACGGCTAGTCACAATGGAGACCTCTGCCCCTCCAGCTCCTACTTCTTGTCAGAAACCTCCAGACCCTTAAATGGCTATTCTTGGATATTTAAATGTTGGAGATCAAAATCCTCTATTTTTCTTTTTGATTCAGGACTTACTGTGAGGTTAACCTTTCATTACTCTGTCTTTATTCACCATTCTTTTTCATTCATTGTTCTTAAACTGCTCTGCATCCAGCCAGCCTCTGCATCAGCCACCAGGCAACATTCTCTAGCCCCAGCTGTGATGTGTCACTCCTCAGCTTAGAAACCTTCCCTGATTGTTTGAATCCCCAAACTCCTTAACTTGGCATAAATGGCTGGCCTAAACCCCTCTGCCTTCCTGTCCACCTTATGCCCAGCTGTCTTCTGTGCTTTGGTCCTATGCAGTCTCTCATATTTTGCAAATGTTGTATTCCTTAGTCCTGTTTCTCCCTGTCACCATCAAACCTTTACCAAACATATTATCCCCTAAAGATCCCATGGCGTCCTCCTCCTAGAGGCTGTACCTTCTTGTCTTTATGACGCCTTCCTGTGGCATAAAGTTTGGGACATTTCTGACCTCATTCCCTGCCTAAAAGTCATTCATGACGGTGTCTCTTTTTCCACTGCCAGCTAATAAGGCCAGAGTTGTCTCACTGTTTACTTACCCTTCAACTTGGGGTAAAAGGTTGTGTAGGAGATGTTTGCCAAAATGAAACGCTGATGGAGAGCAGAGCTGTTAAAGGCGAGGGTCCCCAGGGCTGGGGGTGTGGCTCAGTTGTAAAGCACATGTCTAGCATACACAGGAGGCCCTGGGTTCAATCCCCAGGACCACCAAACGTGTATGTGGGGTGGGGGGAGGAGAGAGGGGGGATTATTGGTAAAAGGGACACAGGGGAATGTCGCTGATGGGTCCTTGCTGAAGTACCCTCATCTCTTTCCCCATCCCCACCCCCCGCAAAAAAAAAAAAAAGATGCTTTCTAGAAAGTTGTCCAATGTTCCTGGGCTCCACTAGCCCTATGTCTCCAAGAACAGCTTTATCCAAGCTGTCAGTGTCACAGCTACTGCCAGTTGGCTCTGCCCAGATAAGGTCAGTCACCTGCAGTCATCCACTAACAAGAGGTCAGTGAAGGTCAGTGACCTTCCTTTCTTTTCTGCTCACGTTTCCCAGGCCTCTGCAATCATCTAGGCCTATCTCTGCCCTTCCCCTTCAGGGCCTCTGGGTTCCATCCATAGTACCAGTCACTGAGATTCCCTTCCCTGAAGGGGAATACACTGGACTGCTTGGTGCTTGCTAGGAACAGCATATTTTATCTCTGTGTCTAGAAGACAATGTCCTGTTAATTCTTCATTGCTTAGTTCAAACTGGCTCCTCTTCCCTGCTGTCCCTGATCTGACCTCACTACTTCACCTGCAAAGCCCTCTGTGCTGTCAGTCCTGCCTCCTGCTACTTCCTTCCTTCCTTCTTTCCCTTCCATCCCTCCCTCCCTTTTTTCCTTCCTTTCCTTCTTTCCTCCCTCTCTCCCTTCTTTCCTTTCTTCTTCCTATCTTCCCTTCTTTCTTCCTCCCTTTTGCTAAATCAGTGATTTTTCAACCCTGCTGCACAATAGGTCATCATTAAAAACAAGCGCTGAGGACTAGCTTATTGGTAGAGTACATGTTTAGCTTGTGCTGAACCCTGGGTTGGATCCCTAACACCAAAAAACAACCCCACCCACTCCCCAGAGATTCTGATTTAATTGGCTTGCAGTGAGATCTGGATCTTCGAACGTTTAAAAGCTCCCAGGTATGCTGAGGTTGAGATTAATAGCACTAAATCCTGGCCACCCCAATGTACCTGAAGATAATCACCTTGAACTTGGCCAAGTAGCCTAGACCTGTGGCATGGGTGTTGCCTGTGAGCTGGACAGCAGTGCTGATCCTGGAGCCTGAGCAAACCCAGACTGGCATTTAGCAGGCTCACCAGATGATTCTTGTGCACACTACAGATTCAAGAGGTCTGCTGAGATTCTAGATCCTAGGAACTTGGTTAAAAAATAGATTCCAGCCAGGTATGGTGATCATTGAAAACAAAGCTGGTGGTTGAAGAGATGGTTCTTTGCTGGGGATGGGAGGGAAGAAATAAATGGTTACCCTGCTCAAGAAAAAACGAATGTGCCTAAAATCCCAGCAATCAGTAGGCTGGGGCAGGAGGATTGAGAGTTTGAGGCCAGCGTGAGTTATATAGTGAGACACTGTCTCAAAAAAAAAAAAAAAAGTCCCTTAAGACAGGCTTAATAATAAATTAGAATTTCTAGGGGGAAAGACCAGTTGTCCTGTACATATTTGACAATTCCTAGGTGATTCTTCTCAGGTATTTTGGGAAATGATAGCTCTAAATTAATATCCTGACCCATTCGAATGGCCTACAGTTTGCAACAGAGGGTTGTGTGGGAATCAAGAAAGGACAAGTAAATGAGCATGAAGCCAGGGGAGAACCTGGAGTCCAGTCCTAAGGGGAAATGACCAGCATTGCTGGAGATGGCAAATCCCAAGTGCTGGGGTGGTGATAGGAAAGGGAAATGGTGGAGCTGCTGTCAGGGAAGGTTACTGGAAGAGGTGGTGCACAAGGTTCACCAGGACTTAAGCAAAGTAGGCTCCAGGAAAAGCATGCAACAGGCAGAAGTGGTTAAGGGAGGAGACCTCAGGCTGCTCCTTTCCCTTGATCTTGTTTTTCTCCTTCAACTTTGTCTTTCTCTCAGACATACCTGTGAGCAAAGGCCCTGGTAACTCAGGGCTCAGAAGGGTTGCTGACCTCTGGTAGGATCAGGGAACACCTTATTTTGTTTCTGAGTGGCACATACTTGTGAAATACAAGCACTTTTTTATCCAGCAAAGGCTGAGTCAATAAAACAACAACAAACATTTGCACAATACTCTGTGCTTTCCAAACAGTTACACAATGGTTATTCACATGTTTTGTGTACTTAGAAGTCCTGAGACCTGCTTCTAGTAAGAGGTAAGGCCAAGGTTCCACTCTCTCAATGGTTTGGGGAACTGGGACAGTCACAGAGGTACAGTTTGGTAACTGGAAGCCCAAATGGGTGGCGAGCTCCCAGGGAAACTGTCCTTTAACCCTAATGAGTATCCCCAAGCTCTGATCACCTGGGGAGCTTGTGAAAGGTACAGGTGCTTCCCGCCCCCCCCCAGTCAAAATCTCCTAGGGACTTATAGTTTCACAAGAATCACGATCAGATGCTTTGGGAAACGCTGAAGTAGTTGCAGTAGGACTCTGGGATGTGACCCTTACATCCATTACCTCCTAAATACATAGCCTGGCTAATACAGCCCTCCTCCCTGAGCCTCAGTATCCCCATCTGCACAATGAGGGTCCTTCCTGGTGCCCACATTCTGAGATCCTGGGGGGTGCTCCCCAGAATGGAAGAGGC